AGTTAAATAAAGTCCACCTGTGTGCAATCTAAGTGTCACTTGATCTGTCACATGATCTCAGTATATATACACCTGTTCTGAAAGGCCCCAGAGTCTGCAACACCACTAAGCAAGGGGCACCACCAAGCAAGCAGCAACATGAAGACCAAGGAGCTCTCCAAACAGGTCAGGGACAAAGTTGTGGAGAAGTACAGATCAGGGTTGGGTTATAAAAAAATATCTGACACTTTGAACATCCCACGGAGCACCATTAAATCCATTTTTTAAAAATGGAAAGAATATGGCACCACAACAAACCTGCCAAGAGAGGGCTGCCCACCAAAACTCACTGACCAGGCAAGGAGGGCATTAATCAGAGAGGCAACAAAGAGACCAAAGATAACCCTGAAGGAGCTGCAAATCTCCACAGTGGAGTATCTGTCCATAGGACTACTTTAAGCCGTACACTCCACAGAGCTGGGCTTATCGAAGAGTGGCCAGAAAAAAGCCATTGCTTAAAGAAAAAAATAAGCAAACACGTTTGGTGTTCGCCAAAGGGCATGTGGGAGACTCTGGTCAGATGAGAATAAAATTGAGCTTTTTGGCCATCAAGGTAAACGCTATGTCTGGCGCAAACCCAACACCTCTCATCACCCCGAGAACACCATCCCCACAGTGAAGTATGGTGGTGGCAGCATCTTGCTGTCGGGATGTTTTTCATCGGCAGGGACTGGGAAACTGGTCAGAATTGAAGGAATGATGGATGGCGCTAAATACAGAGATATTCTTGAGGGAAACCTGTTTCAGTTCCAGAGATTTGAGACTGGGATGGAGGTTTACCTTCCAGCAGGACAATGACCCTAATTATACTGCTAAAACCACTCAAGTGGTTTAAGGGGAAACATTTAAATGTCTTGGAATGGCCTAGTCAAAGCCCAGACCTCAATCCAATTGAGAATCTGTACACCAATGGAACCCATCCAACTTGAAGGAGCTGGAGCAGTTTTGCCTTGAAGAATGGGCAAAAATCCTAGTGGCTAGATGTGCCAAGCTTATAGAGACATACCCCAAGAGACTTGCAGCTGTAATTGCTGCAAAAGGTGTCTCTACAAAGTATTGACTTTGTCTTATTTCTTTCACAATTAAAACTATTTTGCATCTTCAAAGTGGTAGGCATGTTGTGTAAATCAAATGATCCAAACCCCCCAAAAATCCATTTTTAATTCCAGGTTGTAAGGCAACTGTCACGAGCGTCGTAAGGATGAGACCAAAGCGCAGCGTTGCGAGTGAACATGACTTTAATAAATAAAGAAACACCAGACAAAACAAAAACACGATCCGTGACGTCCTCAGTTACACAGACTGAACATAGAACAATAACCCACAACTAACACAAGAAAACCTACATCTTAAATATGGCTCCCAATCAGAGATAACGAGCCGAACAGCTGACACTCGTTACCTCCGATTGGGAGTCAATGAATACAAACAAGGAAACACAACACCAACCTAGAAATAGACACAACAGAACTCCTCACCTAGAAATAAACGTGACAGACCTGCAAACATAAAATACACCCAAAACCCAACAAACAACATACACCCTGGCTCAAATACACAAGTCCTGGAGCCAGAGTGTGACAGTACCCCCCCCTAAAGGTGCGAACTCCGGGCGCACCAGCATACAGTCTAGGGGAGGGTCTGGGTGGGCGTCTGTCCACGGTGGCGGTTCTGCTTCTGGTCGTGGTCCCCATCCCACCTTAGTCACTCTCCGCTTCCGTCCTCCCTTCCTCATGACCACCCCCCAACTCAACCCCACTGGATTAAGGGGCGGCACCTGACTACGGGACAGTACCGGACTAAGGGGCAGCACCGGACTAAGGGGCAGCACCGGGATAAGGGGCAGCACCGGGACAAGGGGCAGCACCGGGACAAGGGGCAGCACCGGACTACGGGGCAGTACCGGACTAAAGGGCAGTACCGGGCTAAGAGGCAGTACCGGACTACGGGTCAGCACCGGGCTAAGGGGCGGCACCGGACTCAGGGGCAGCACCGGACTAAGGGGCAGCACCGGGCTGAAGGGCAGTACAGGACTAAGGGGCAGCACCGGGCTAAGGGGCAGTACCTGACTAGATGGCGGATCCTGGCTGGCTGGCTCTGGCGGATCCTGGCGGGACGGCTCTGGCGGATCCTGGCGGGACGACTCTGGCGGATCCTGGCGGGACGGCTCTGGCGGATCCAGGCTGGACGACTCTGGCGGATCCTGGCGGGACGGCTCTGGCGGATCCAGGCTGGACGGCTCTGGCGGATCCAGGCTGGACGGCTCTGGCGGATCCTGGCGGGACGGCTCTGGCGGATCCGGGCTGACCGGCTCTGGCGGATCCTGGCTGGCCGGCTCTGGCTGATCCTGGCTGGACGGCTCTGGCGGATCCTGGCGGGACGGCTCTGGCGAATCCGGACTGACCGGCTCTGGCGGATCCTGGCTGGCCGGCTCTGGCTGATCCTGGCTGGCCGGCTCTGGCGGATCCTGGCTGGCCGACGGATCTGGCTGCTCATGGCTGACTGACGGATCTGGCTGCTCATGGCTGGCTGACGGATCTGGCTGCTCATGGCTGGCTGACGGATCTGGCTGCTCATGGCTGGCTGACGGGTCTGGCTGCTCATGGCTGGCTGACGGGTCTGGCTGCTCATGGCTGGCTGACGGATCTGGCTGCTCATGGCTGGCTGACGGGTCTGGCTGCTCATGGCTGGCTGACAGATCTGGCTGCTCATGGCTGACTGACGGATCTGGCTGCTCATGGCTGACTGACGGATCTGGCTGCTCATGGCTGGCTGACGGACCTGGCTGCTCATGGCTGGCTGACGGGTCTGGCTGCTCATGGCTGGCTGACGGATCTGGCTGCTCATGGCTGGCTGACGGATCTGGCTGCTCATGGCTGGCTGACGGATCTGGTTGCTCATGGCTGGCTGACGGGTCTGGCTGCTCATGGCTGGCTGACGGGTCTGGCTGCTCATGGCTGGTTGACAGATCTGGCTGCTCATGGCTGGCTGATGGTGCTGGCTGGGAGGCTGGCGGTGGAGGCGGACCCCAGCCTCGGATAGCAGTCATCACCTCCAGCAGGGCGGCTCCCATCTGCAGGATCTGCTCTTTCTGGTCCCGAACCTGAGCTTCCAGTCTAGTATGGGCTGCGCCGGCTCCTGCTGATTCCATAGCAGGTGTCTGATTCTGTCTGGCGGACGGCTCTGCAGGCTCATGGCAGACGGACGGCTTTGCAGGCTCAGTACAGACGGGCGGCTTATGCAGCGCTTGGCAGACGGGCAGTTCAGACGTCCTAGGACAGACGGCAGACTCTGGCCGGCTGGCGACGCACATCGTGGACCTGGTGCGTGGAGTAGGAACAGACCGGCCCGTACCGGGAACACCCACCACTGGCCTTAACTGGGGATCAAGAACGGACCGGACCAGACTGGGAACACACTTCAGTCTCTCATGCCGTGCCACAACAACTTCCCCCTTTCCACTCGCCAATGGCTCCCGTAATCCGAATGCCTTCTCTCCAGCTCTACCTGTGGCAGCCTCCTGCTGCCCAGGCGCCCAAGCCATGTGCCCCCCCCCAAAAATTTTTTGGGGAGTAACCACGGGCTTCCAGCCTCGACTCCGCGCTGCCTCCTCGTACCACCTCCTCTCGGCTGCAGCCGCCTCCAGCTCTTCACGAGGGCGGTGATATTCCTCCATTTGTGGCCAAGGACCCTTTCCAGCCCGTATCTCCTCCCATGTCCATGAATCCGTTGGAGGTAGGTCCTGTTGCCGCTTGTTACGCTGCTTGGTCCTCTTTTGGTGGGTTATTCTGTCACGAGCGTCGTAAGGATGAGACCAAAGCGCAGCGTTGCGAGTGAACATGACTTTAATAAATAAAGAAACACCCGACAAAACAAAAACACGATCCGTGACGTCCTCAGTTACACAGACTGAACATAGAACAATAACCCACAACTAACACAAGAAAACCTACATCTTAAATATGGCTCCCAATCAGAGATAACGAGCCGAACAGCTGACACTCGTTACCTCCGATTGGGAGTCAATGAATACAAACAAGGAAACACAACACCAACCTAGAAATAGACACAACAGAACTCCTCACCTAGAAATAAACGTGACAGACCTGCAAACATAAAATACACCCAAAACCCAACAAACAACATACACCCTGGCTCAAATACACAAGTCCTGGAGCCAGAGTGTGACAGCAACAAAATAGAAAAAATGCCAAGGGGGGTGAATACTTTCGCAAGCCACTGTATACAGTTTAGGCTTTCTACTGCCAAGTTTACACCTTCACTATTGCAGTGAAATGTTTTGCCCAGGAGGTTTTGTCTAAAAGGGATTGAATTTGATGTTGCCTAATTGTTTTTTGGTACGTTTCTACACTACTTTCCTTCAATCTATAGCGTTTGTTAATAGTATGCAGTTTGTTCGGCCTCATGATTGAGTATTGCTCTGTTCAAGTAGGCTGTGATTTTTCTGTGATCTGATAGCGATGTCAGTGGGCTGACTGATCTGGGGGCACCTATATGAGTTGTGGCCATGGTTGGTTTGGGTGGGTGGTTTGGGGGGGAGTGGAAGTGCCTGGCGGTACTGTGGTCTGGATGTAGGTCCTCTCGGCGGGGGTCCTCTCGGTGGGGGTCTTCTAGGTGCAGGTCCGTGGGGGCCTTGCAGGTCTGAGAGGGGGGGGAGTGGATGTGCCTGGCGGTACTGTGGTCTGGATGTAGGTCCTCTCGGCGGGGGTCCTCTCGGTGGGGGTCTTCTAGGTGCAGGTCCGTGGGGGCCTTGCAGGTCTGAGAGGGTGTCCGTTGCTCTCTCTCTCTTTCTCTCCATATCTCTCTCTGTCTCTCACTCTCCCTAACTATCTCTCTCTATCTCTCACTCGCTCTCAGTATATTACAGTAAGCTTGTGATTATGATTTTTTGGGATGATACTTACTGTATGTTATTGACATGTTGTCACTGTCCCAGCAGGCTTATCGCGAGTCCAGAGGCGGAGTCTGACAGCAGGTGGTGTCCTGGCCAATCAGAGGAGCTTCTGCAGACCACTGAGTCGTCCACGTCCACTGACTCCTCCCTCGGAGAAGGTACTGCAGGGATGGGAACCCAGAAGAGACAATACAGACAGTCAATGCTGTCCATTTTGTGTCAAACCAGTATCCATTGGAAATGCAGAGGAATGATGATGAACAGGTGTTAGAAAGATACCTATGATTCATATCTTTCTTACATTTTGTCCCTCCTCTCCCCCTGTAGACTGTGTGGACGCCAGTCTCCATAGTGACCTGGATGCTGATGCTCTAGACTACGAGGCTGAGTCTTGGAGTCTGACGGTGGAACACACGTTCTGTAAGAAGCTGGACAAACGGGTAGTCAAGAGACAGGATGTTATCTATGGTGAGAAAACACTGCGTTCATATGTAATGAAACCAGCTGTTTTGTAATACAGTTAGTGAGTTATAAATGAGTTATGAGTGCTGAAATGTTAAGGGCCAGAGCACAGGAAAGTTTATGGTTTGTTATTATGGCATGTCCAATGGATCGGTTGGTCTACCGAGACCTTTGTCATCTTGGAAAGGTGGGTAATTGGACTTGTTTGAGGGGATCAGTTTGAGCAAGGCGAGGTATTGCTAATATGGATCAAATATTGAGTAGTTAGTTGGGATGCAAGATGATTTGTAGATCAGTGATTATGCGCTGGCAGACTGCAATGTAGTCAATCTCAAACATGCACTGTGTGCACAGGAGGTTGGTGGCATATTAATTGTGGAGGACGGGCTTGTGGTAATGGCTGGAGCGGAATAGGTGGAATGGTATCAAATACATAAAACACATGGTTTCCTTGTGTTTGATGCCATTTCATTTGCTCTGTTCCAGCCATTATTATGAGCCTTCCTCCTGTCGTGACGTGACTTACTTTAATGTATGACTGTTATTTATCGAATCACCTAACTATGTTTAATTGTCACTCAGTTAAATTAATCATGTAACAATTAACTCATTAGGAATTTGGGGCACCACGGAAGAAGTTGTTTAACGAGTTACCGTCTCCCGAATTAAACTCTTAGAAGATTTATATGATATATCGATAACAGTCAGTTATTAAATAATTACCTCTTATCAGTATCATTCTGAATGTCGCATAATCCTTGAACCTGCAAGAACCCTAACCTTATTGATGAATCAGCAATAGACAAATTGGCTTAATTATTTATTTACTAACTAACTAAATAATAACACAATACAAACACACACACACATAGGTTATTGATTACTAACGTAATACAATGAAAACAGGTCCCTAGTGGACTGGACTAACAATAGCAGGAATGCTTGGGTACAAGGAGGGTCAGAGTGGAAGGGAGAGACAGAGATTCAAACTATCGTGGTTACTTTGGAGGGAATGCTTAAACCCAATTAAACGCTCATTCGGATTAGAAATGCAACATGTATTTACGTGTAGCTGTCCTCGATAGTTGAGTTGATGATATAGGACTCTGGTTTGCCCACCAGAGATCCCAATGTCCTTGGTAGAGTTTCCACCAACGGAGAAGTCCATAGTGGTGGTTAGAATGGATACTTCAGATGTACCAGTGGTTGTCGGAGAGGGATTGTCCTTCCCAACTCGTGTCTTTAGTGAAAGTTCTCTAGACGACTATACATGCCAGCTGCAGACTGAGATGATAAGGTCTAGTGCATTGACTTCTTCTTCACCTCGTGTAGAGGTTGAGAGTTTCAGAGTTTCTCCATTTCAAACGTGTGGACTAACGTCTCATGTTGTCTGGTCTAACCATTTTGTAACGTGTAGCTTCAGCTTCACACTTCTTGGTCTTGTAGAAATTCAACCATTTGCAACATCCGGCTTATACCGTAGTATGCTTGGTCTTCCTTTGGTAATGGAGTTGTAGTTTTAAACCATTTTGTAACTTTTAGCTCACGCTTCACGTCTGCTGGTCTTGTAGAAATTAAACAATTTGCAACGTTTAGCTCACGCTTCACATCTGCTGGTCTAATGTTAATTTGTTTTTCAAGGCTTTTTATGCACTCGGGGTAAAAGGGGCGCTCCATCATGTTTGTGCTCATCTGGGCGTGGCCACTGACTGAGAACAAATCAACATGGAAAACAATAATCTCATCTAGAATGCTAAAATCACATTCTTATCTTCACAAAATTATTATTATACTTAATCATTCGTTTTTATACAACAATTAGATGCAAACCTCATAACTGGGAGGTGTACACCCCCAGAGATACAGTTATGTTGTTCCACCATCTTTAATGACATCACAACATAGTAACGAATTTGACATGATTGTTCTTTAAGTCCCCACCGACCATTTCCCACATTCTTTTAAGTAGGAATATTGTTTCATTATCCACTTTTGGATGTTGGAGTCTTGGCGGGAAGACTTCCTTTGTCTCACAGGGAAATTCCCTCTCCCAATACTGCATGGTACGGAAAATAATGTTTCTGCAAGGAAATTACGACCTGTCATAAAACTGGCCCCCAGGAGAGGGGGTATTCAAACCTTTGCCTAGCCGGCATCTTTGATCCTCAGCCCATGAGGGCAAGTCATGACACTCCCTTCAGCAGCCTCCACTGACTATGTGTGTGTCCTCTCAGAGTTGATGCAGACAGAGATGCACCACCTCCAGACACTGAGGATCATGGCCGAGGTGTTCCGGCGAGGGATGAGGGAGGAGGTACAGCTGGATGTGTGCGCCGTGGACCGTGTCTTCCCCTGTCTGGACGAACTCCTCCTCCTCCACCACAACCTCTTCAACGCCATGAGGGAATGCCGCCACAGCTCCGCCCAGCCACACGGGGACAGGAACTACGTCATAGTATGCATCGGAGACATCCTGTTGCAACAGGTGCGCTGTTAAAATAAAGTGCTTTGTAACACTAAAACTAGTGGCAACCTTTTTCATACAGTCATATGGAATCTGTGCAGACAGAATGACCTCATGACCCCTGGAAATAAATGCTGAATCTAAATTACAATGAATCAGTACTTCCACAAAACATGGGTAAATACAGATATTGCTGTTTTTTTGTTGTCTGAAACATTGCCAACGTCCACTCACTCTCTCCTCTACTTCAGTAATTCAACCTCAAGACACATGACTGTGGTGTTTATGTTCTATTTGACTGATTGAGTACGTTGGATATAGATTGACTGTATAACTTCTCATTTCTGGTGCAGTTTTCTGAAGACAATGCAGAGAGGATGAAACAGGTGTATGGGGAGTTCTGCAGCCATCACACTGAGGCAGTCACCTTCTTCAAAGAGTTACAGCAGCATAACAAACGATTTCAGACCTTCATCAAGGTACGTTCGGCGTGTCTGCTTAGAAGACTACTCAAGTCTCAAGATTGAGAAGTTGTCTTGAGGAGTTTTCTGTCTCTACAAGTTATGTCTCGATGTAGGTTATCTTGAGAAGTGGTTATATTGTATATTCCACTTGTGACTAATGATTGATTGTTGATTTTGTGTTTCTATAGCAACAAAGTAATAACTATTTGGTCCGAAGGAGAGAGATCCCAGAATGCATCTTGTTGGTTACCCAGAGGATCACTAAGTACCCTGTTCTGCTGGAGAGGATTCTACAGTACACTCAGGGTCAGTCTGTCTGCCTCTCTTTGCTCTGCTGCCCTCTGCTGTCAGGATCAGATAACATGACCAGGCTAGTTGTATGTTGGACAGGTGGTTTTATCATACAGCTCAGCTATCAGTGAGAATATACAGCAGTTACAGTAACAGGTACAGTCAGAGATGACATGAAAAAGGACAACAATGTGCTGTATTTGAAATATAACTTTCATACTGATATGACGGTAACCGGATGTATAGTATTGCGCTTACAACTTCAATGTGCCTGAATATTTTTTTTCTCTCTCGCCCCCCCCCTCTCTCTCTCTCTCTCTCTCTATTTCCCTCCCTCCCCTCCCCCCTCTCCCTCCCTCAGAGGACAGTGAGGAGCACAGGGACCTCTCTAGAGCTCTGGTTCAGATCAAGGAAGTGATCGCGGCGGTTGACCTGAGGGTCAGTGAGTTTGAGCAGGATCAGCGGTTACAGGATGTCCTGAACAGAATGGAGAATCGTTGTGTTGCCAAGCTGAAGAACGGGCACACCTTCAGGAAGCAGGATGTTCTAGGGCCAGGCCGGACCCTCAAACACCAGGGCCTGTTACTGTGGAAGACCGCCACTGGACGACTCAAAGGTTTCACACACTGGTCAATCAATCAATCAACCGAACAATCAATCAGTCAATCAATCAATCAATTTCACACTAATGATAATATTGATAATGGATTGCATTGTTTACAACTGTCTTGTGTCATATCTCTGCAGATGTTATGGCTCTCCTTCTGACAGACACACTGATCTTCCTACAGGAGAAAGACCAGAAGTTCATATTCGCTGCTGTGGTATGTCTAGGAAAGGGTCTTGTGACATTTGCTGTTAAAGATGCAGTCCGGGATCTTAAGCACTTACAAATTCATTACATATTTTATGAATTGGAATTCGTAACATATCATACGAATTGCTGGACGTAACATGGCGGTAGGTAGCCTAGCGGGTAAGTGTGTTGGGCCAGTAACTGAAAGGTCACTGGTTTCGAATCACCGAGCCGACTAGGTGAAAAATCTGTTGATGTGCCCTTGAGCAAGGCACTTAAGCCTAGTTGCTCTGGATAAGACATGTCAACCCCTACATCTGTGAGTGTTGGCCCTCTGTTTTCATTGACTTCACTAATACGCTGTCATCCTCCCATTCTGTCTGTCTATGCTCCTCAGGACCAGAAGCCCCCAGTGATCTCTCTCCAGAAGCTGATCGTCAGAGAGGTAGCCAATGAGGAGAGAGGGATGTTTCTGATCAGTGCGTCGGCCGCAGGGCCAGAGATGTACGAGGTCCACACCTCCTCTAAAGACGAACGCAACACCTGGATGAGACTCATCAGAGAGGCTGTAGAGAGGTCAGTCAGGGGAGGGAGGGGTATGGGAGTGTGTGGGTGTGGGGTCTCTTTCTCTCTCTCTCTATCTCTTTCGCTCTGTGTGTGTGTGTGTGTGTGTGTGTGTGTGTGTGTGTGTGTGTGTGTGTGTGTGTGTGTGTGTGTGTGTGTGTGTGTGTGTGTGTGTGTGTGTGTGTGTGTGTGTGTGTGTGTGTGTGTGTGTGTGTGTGTGTGCGTGCGTGCGTGCGTGCGTGCGTGCGTGTGTGTGTGCCTAACACTGTCTGTCTGTCCAGCTGTCCAGAGGAAGAGGAGGAGAACACTAACGAGTCAGAGGAGGAGAGAAGAGCAGCTGAGGCCAGAGTCCAGAAGATACACAAACTACAGGGTATTTATATCCATTACCTACATATAGCTTGTCTGTCATTTTCCCTTTAGTTCTGTATCTGTTGGTGACTGGCATTACCGCTGCTACTGCGATTTTCTACTGTGATTTCTGAGTGTTGATTATGATTTATTGAATGTATGTGATGCGATTTTGTGGTACCCTTCTGAGTGTTGATTGTGATTTATTGAATGTGTGTGGTGTTATTTTTTCAGAGCCTGAGATATTGTGTGTTGATTGTGATTTTTTGAATGTATGTGGTGTTATTCTGTCAGAGCCTGAGATATTGTGTGTTGATTGTGATTTATTGAATGTATGTGGTGTTATTCTGTCAGAGCCTGAGATATTGTGTTGATTGTGTATTACTGGCTATAAAATGTTTATTGTGTGTTACTACTGTGATGTATTTCTGTTTTGTTGTTGTGTCAGAGAACCTGTACAGTCAGGACCATCAGATCTGATCCAGTCTGGAGGAGAAGCTACAGATATATTAATGATAGTTCATTAATAATAGTTTATTCATGATAGTTTATTAATTTTATTTAACCTTTATTTAAGCAGGGAGTCATACTGAGACCATGGTCTCTTTTGCAGATTGAACACATCAATAAACAGCAATTACACTATACATATCTATATACATATCAATTACAGAACACATGAAAAGCAAACACAAAACATGAAAAGTAAAACACAATCATATGAAACAAACACAAAAAAGGCCCTCTAACATCCGCCTGAACTGCCCTAGAGGCACCAACTCCACCAATTTTTGTTTTGGAGATCATTCCACATGAGAGGCTAAAAAAAACTATAATCAGATTAACCTAACTCGGTGGAGATTGAAGGGATCTCCAGGGTAAACCATTAATGTGTGTATCTACCAGAGACCCTGTCCAGTCAGGATTATCAGATATGTTCTAGTCTGTTTATTAATGATAGTTTATTAATGATATTGTATTAATGTGTGTATCTACCAGAGACCCTGTCCAGTCAGGATTATCAGATATGTTCTAGTCTGTTTATTAATGATAGTTTATTAATGATAGTGTATTAATGTGTGTATCTACCAGAGACCCTGTCCAGTCAGGATGATCAGATATGCGCCAGTCTGGAGGAGAAGCTACAGATCTATGCTGAGCTGTCTGCCCTGAGGGGCAGGGCCCAGGAACCACACCCTGAGACACGCCTACTGGTCCAGCCACACCCAGAGGAGGTGCCCCAGGCTGCAGTACTGCTTACTGCCGCGCTCAGAGAGGGTGAGACGATACACCTCACTATAAGCCTCACTGACCATCGTGTTGTCCATTTCCTGTTGTAGAGTGTCCAATGTCTTACTCTGTCTGTCTGTCTGTGGGTATCCCCCCCCCCCCCCCTCTCTCTCTCCAGCTGCGAACCTGAGGACCACTCTGTCTTCGTGGACCTGTTCCCCCTCCAGCCCCTGCAGCCCTCCCAGGGACCCCCTATCCCACCCTGTGTCCCCAGCCAGCCCTCATACCCCCCTGGACACCCCCTCAGATGGGGAGGCCTCTCTTGGGGACCCTGATACCAGGGATGGGGAGTCAGCCTCCCAGGTCCTCGTACTGCAGTCCCTGACTCAACTCCACACTGGGGACACTAATAATATCAACCTTAAGGTAGGTCTCCTATGCAGGGTTGTCTTAACTATATACCATAGATATTGTAGCGAATTCAGGGGTAACCCGACAGGGCTTTAAGCCAGGTCTCTGTGACTGTCAGTCCAACACTGTAGCCATCACAACAAGAGGTTCAAATACCAATGGGCTTTGCAGTTGTAGCCATAGGCTTGTTGTAGTCTTGAGCTGCTAAAGTGTGTACTATGTTCTGTTTTCATATTGGCCTTGACTTCTCACCTTCCTCCTTCTCTTCTCGTGGTGGCTCAACAATCCCAACAGTTGTTTGAATAATTTAATACCATCTATTAGAATTACATTTCAGCCTTAATGTGATAAATTATTAATATCTTAATAATACAGGAGAAAGTCCATTTAGCTCTCAATGGTACCGTCTCATTAAAAATAGATGTAGAGAATAATATCCCAATTTCCTCGGACACATTTGTACTATCGTTAGCATGTTGATGTGTGCCCTGGCTGTGAGTTAAATGACTGTGATAAGAAAAATAAGTATTGACTGGAAGCTGTGGGGTAATGTAGTGTACATAGTGGGTGCACATACACTTTCAGACCACAAGGTGGCATTATATGTACACTACCACATAGACTCCTCAGACAAATGGACTCTACTTAGAAAATGTGCCTTGTGATGAGAGGAGAAGAAACTTCAGTCTCACCATTACATGGAACCGTGACTGGAGTGTAGTGCTGGAGGAAGCCAGTAGCGGCTTATGCAGGTTCGGCCATCTAGGAGAGTGAAACATATTACCGATGTAGGATCGTAATTTCATCACCCTGTTGCAGGAGAATTTGTTGTGTATTTGAGGTAGTGTATTCCACTTTTAAAATTCATACTTTATTTTCACTTATGGAAAATGTTTCAACCCCTACAAAATTTCCATTAATTATAATCCACTTAATAATTGACATTTCCTGTAGCTGCAGGATTATTTCCTGCTCTAGCAAGCTGGCTCAAATTAAGATCCTACATCTGTAGGAGAGTGAAACCCATCCTCACTCACTAACACTGAAGTACTAGAACCATTACATTTATTTGTATACCGTTTTTTATCTAGGGTTATTATAGAGGGAATGTTATTTGTGGAGGGATGAAGTCATGAGAAGATCCTCATAGATCCTGACTATTAGCTGCTGTTTATCATGTGTGTTAACTGTGGTTGTCTTCCTCAACAACAGGTGGCTCACAGTGTCCAAAGCTTGACCCAGTTACTCTATAGTCTACAGGTGAGCTCATCCCTATGAGAGGTGAATCACACACACACACACACACACACACACACACACACACACACACACACACACACACACACACACAAAGACAGACACACACACACCCTGTGTATCTCATCTTAGTCACTTATTCCATTGGACACACAGACCCAGTGTGTTCTCAGCAGGAACAAATACATCCTGTTTTAGTGCCACATTCAGGTTGCTCAAGATGAAGGCTTAGTGTGTGTGTGTGTGTGTGTGTGTGTGTGTGTGTGTGTGTGTGTGTGTGTGTGTGTGTGTGTGTTTGCCTGGCTGCACCACAATTTCTGTAAACAGAGATCCAACAATCAGCTGGATTGTCTGAAGCTTGAAACGCTAGACAGCCAGGCAGTAAGCTGCTGGAGAGAGGAACCCAATTATCCTATTCTTAGTGGGAGAGAGACCAGAGGAGAGAGAGGCTTTTTCCTGCTCTGCACAGCGAACATTTGATGTGTTGATGTAGATAGAGTCTATTCTGTTTGGTGTGTGTACAGTATGTGTTTGTGTTAGTAATGTGAAGCGTGTGCGTGTTTGCGGTGTGTGTGTAGCCTACTGTACATAGTAACATTGCTTGTATGTTGGAATGTGTTTGTATGCAGTCTATATGTGTGTTCTAGGCCTGCTTGGCCGAACAATATGTAGCTCAGCCTTAAAGTACCAGTAAGTACTTGGTTTGCCGTTGACTGTCACAATGTCGACTGACCCATTTTTGGTATTCAAATCACCTGCTTCTATTGCCCCCATTCACCTTGGCTTGGAGCCACTCATGGTCATCGATGGTTGGCCCAGTGTGGACCCATTTGCATGGCCGCGTTGATCCTAGTGAGTGAGTCAGCAGCCAGGCAGCCAGCCAGTTGGCCAGCTAGTCAGCCAGTCAATTAATCAATCAGTCAGTCAGTCAGTCAATGAATCAATCAGTCAGTCAGTCAGTCAGTCAGTCAGTCAGTCAGCCATCCAGCCAGCTAGTCAGTCAGTCAGTCAGCCATCCAGCCGGCCAACCAGTCAATAAGTCAGCCATCCAGCCGGCCAACTAGTCAGCCAGCCAGCTAGTCAGCTAGTCAGCCAGCTAGTCAGTCAGTCAGCCATTCAGCTGACCAACCAGTCAGTCAGCCATCCAGCCGGCCAACCAGTCAGTCTATCAGCCAGCCAGCCAAGTAGTCAGCTAGTCAGACAGCCAGCCAACTAGTCAATGAGTTAGTCAGTCAGTCAGTCAGTCAGTCAATGAGTCAGTCAGTCAGTCAGCCATCCAGCCAGCTAGTCAATCAGTCAGCCATCCAGCTGGCCAACCAGTCAATCAGTCAGCCATCCAGCCGGATAACCAGTCAGCCAGCCAGCCAGCTAGTCAGTCAGCCATCCAGCCGTCCAACCAGTCAGTCAGTCAGCCATCCAGCTGGCCAACCAGTCAGTCAGCCAGCCAGCCAGCCAGGTAGTCAGCTAGCCAGCCAGCCAGCTAGTCAATGAGTTAGACAGTCAGTCAGTCAGTCAATGAGTCAGTCAGCCAGTCAGTCAATGAGTTAGTCAGTCAGTCAATGAGCCAGTCAGCCAATTAGCCAGCCAGTCAGCCAGCCAGCCAGCCAGCCAGCCAGGTAGTCAGCTAGTCAGCCAGCCAGCTAGTCAATGAGTTAGACAGTCAGTCAGCTAGTCAGTCAGTCACGTTATCGTCACATATTTGTTTCCCCTCTGCAGGCGGCGGTAACCATCCAAGACAGTTTCTACGAGGTTCAGAAGCTCCTCCTCCATGAGAGTGACCGCCCCTCCCCCCGCTCTCCGAGACCACACACCCCATGTCTCCGTGGCAACGCTCTGCAGGAGCAGGAGAAGCAGCGTAACCTGGAGAAGCGCCGTGAGGAGGTGGCGGCAGCGGTACGGCTGCAGGGCAGGCTGCACCAGGTAGGGATGAGTTAGATTAATCAATTCCAAAATAAGGTAACATTATTGAAAAAGGCAAATTTAAGTGATATTTTATGTGTAGTGTTTTTCTTCTCACTGTAAATAAGTTTTAAAAAATTGTCCATTAAAATAACACCAAATTGATCAGAAATACAGTGTAGACATTGTTAATGTTGTAAATGGCTATTGTAGCTGGAAACGGCTGATTTTTAATGGAATATCTACAGTGAGGGAAAAAAGTATTTGATCCCCTGCTGATTTTGTACGTTTGCCCACTGACAAAGAAATGATCAGTCTATAATTTTAATGGTAGGTTTACTTGAACAGTGAGAGACAGAATAACAACAAAAAAATCCAGAAAAACACATGTAAAAAATGTTAGAAATTGATTTTCATTTTAATGAGGGAAATAAGTATTTGACCCCTCTGCAAAACATGACTTAGTACTTGGTGGCAAAACCCTTGTTGGCAATCACAGAGGTCAGACGTTTCTTGTAGTTGGCCACCAGGTTTGCACACATCTCAGGAGGGATTTTGTCCCACTCCTCTTTGCAGATCTTCTCCAAGTCATTAAGGTTTCGAGGCTGACGTTTGGCAACTCGAACCTTCAGCTCCCTCCACAGATTTTCTATGGGATTAAGGTCTGGAGACTGGCTATGCCACTCCAAGACCTTAATGTGCTTCTTATTGAGCCACTCCTTTGTTGCCTTGGCCATGTGTTTTGGGTCATTGTCATGCTGGAATACCCATCCACAACCCATTTTCAATGCCCTGGCTGAGGGAAGGAGGTTCTCACCCAAGATTTGACGGTACATGGCCCAGGTCCATCGTCCCTTTGATGCGGTGAAGTTGTCCTGTCCCCTTAGCAGAAAAACACCCCCAAAGCATAATGTTTCCACCTCCATGTTTGACGGTGGGGATGGTGTTCTTGGGGTCATAGGCAGCATTCCTCCTCCTCCAAACACAGCGAGTTGAGTTGATGCCAAAGAGCTCCATTTTGGTCTCATCTGACCACAACACTTTCACCCAGGTCTCCTCTGAATCATTAGGATGTTCATTGGCAAACTTCAGACGGGCATGTATATGTGCTTTCTTGAGCAGGGGGGACCTTGCGGGCGCTGCAGGATTTCAGTCCTTCACGGCGTAGTGTGTTACCAATTGTTTTCTTGGTGACTATGGTCCCAGCTGCCTTGAGATCATTGACAAGATCCTCCCGTGTATTTCTGGGCTGATTCCTCACCGTTCTCATGATCATTGCAACTCCACGAGGTGATATCTTGTATGGAGCCCCAGGCCGAGGGAGATTGACAGTTATTTTGTGTTTCTTCCATTTGCGAATAATCGCACCAACTGTTGTCAACTTCTCACCAAGCTACTTGGCGATGGTTTTGTAGCCCATTCCAGCCTTGTGTAGGTCTACAATCTTGTCCCTGACATCCTTGGAGAGCTCTTTGGTCTTGGCCATGGTGGAGAGTTTGGAATCTGATTGATTGATTGCTTCTGTGGACAGGTGTCTTTTATACAGGTAACAAGCTGAGATTAGGAGCACTCCCTTTAAGAGTGTGCTCCTAATCTCAGCTCGTTACCTGTATAAAAGACACCTGGGAGCCAGAAATCTTTCTGATTGAGAGGGGGTCTAATACTTATGTCACGATCGTCGTAAGCAACGGACCAAGGCGCAGCGTGATATGCGTACATCTTTTAATGAGTACTATTACAATACAATAAAACAACAAAACGATACGTGAAGTCCTAAGGTAACAAAACACAAACCTCTCCGGAACAAGATCCCACAAAAGACAAGTGCCAAACAGGCTGCCTAAGTATGGTTCCCAATCAGAGACAACGAGAATCAGCTGCCTCTGATTGGGAACCACCCTGGCCAACATAGAAATACAACGAACTAGACCATGAACATAGAACATTAAACATAGAAACTAACACCCTGGCTCAACATATAAGAGTCCCCAGAGCCAGGGCGTGACAGTACCCCCCCCCCCCCCCCCCCCCCCCAAAGGCACGGACTGCGACCGCGCCAACTAAACCCAACAGGGGAGGGGCTGGGTGGGCATTCCGCCTCGGAGGCGGATCCGGCTCCGGGCGTGACCACCACTCTCTAGCTACCCCCCCGTAGCGCCCCTGGTCTGGTCTGGCCCCGCTGGCTGGAGCTGGACTGGACATCGGTGGAGCGGATTGCTTAGGCTCCGGTGTGGAGCAGCTGACCGGTACCTGACCAGGCACCGGTGGAAGAGGCACGGGCTGTGCCGGACTGACGACGCGCACCAATGACTTGGTGTGGGGAGCAGGAACAGGCCGGGCCGGGCTGGCGACGCGCACCACAGGCTTGGTGCGGGGAGCAGGAACCGGCCGGGGAGCGGGAACGGGTCGGGCCGGACTGGGAACACTGACGACGCGCACCAATGACTTGGTGTGGGGAGCAGGAACAGGCCGGGCCGGGCTGGCGACGCGCACCACAGGCTTGGTGCGGGGAGCAGGAACCGGCCGGGGAGCGGGAACGGGTCGGGCCGGACTGGGAACACGCACCACTAACTTAGTGCGGGGAGTGGGAACGGGTCGGGCCGGACTGGGAACACGCACCACTAACTTAGTGCGGGGAGTGGGAACGGGTCGGGCCGTACTGGGAACACGCACCACTAACTTAGTGCGGGGAGCGGGAACGGGTCGGGCCGGACTGGGAACACGCACCACTAACTTAGTGCGGGGAGCAGGAACGGGTCGGGCCGTACTGGGAACACGCACCACTAACTTAGTGCGGGGAGCAGGAACGGGCCTGACCGTACTGGGAACACACACCACTGGCCTTGTGCGGGAATCAGGAATGGGCCGGACCGGACTGGTGACACACACCACTTGCTTGGTGCGAGGAGCGGGACTGGGTTTCCTCATAAACCTCCGCTCCCTCTGCTGCCTACTCAGTTCCTCTCGCCGTGCCTCCACACTCTCCTTCTCCCTCCTGACCAATGGCCCCCGTAACCTGGTGGCCTCCTCTCCTAGTCCACAAACTCGCCCTGTAGCTGCCTCCAGCAGCCCCGTCGTTCATGCCGTGTGCCCCCCCAAAAAAATGTCTTGGGGTTGCCTCTCGCCTGTCCGACGACGGCCCGGTTGGCGCCGCTTCTCCTCTCCTTCCTGGGCATCCTCCCTCATCGCCCTCCGGTAGCGGACGGCCTCCTCCTCGGTGATCCTCCCCCAACCGAGGGGCGTTTGCTCCTGGACACGCTGCTTGGTCCTGTATTGGTGGGATCTTCTGTCACGATCGTCGTAATGAGTGGACCAAGGCGCAGCGTGAAATGCGTACATCTTTTATTGCGTACTTTGCACACTACAACAAAACGAAACGTGAAGTCCTCGGTCATAAACACAAACCTACACGGAACAAGATCCCACAAAAGACAAGTGCCAAACAGGCTGCCTAAGTATGGTTCCCAATCAGAGACAACGAGAATCAGCTGCCTCTGATTGGGAACCACCCTGGCCAACATAGAAATACAACGAACTAGACCATGAACATAGAACATTCAACATAGAAACTAACATCCTGGCTCAACATATAAGTGTCCCCAGAGCCAGGGCGTGACAACTTATTTTCCTCATTAAAATGCAAATCAATTTATAACATTTCTGAAATGCGTTTTTCTGGATTTTTTTGTCGTTATTCTGTCATAATAAACTAAAATAAACTGTTCAAATAAACCTACCATTAAAATTATAGACTGATCATTTCTTTGTCAGTGGGCAAACGTACAAAATCAGCAGGGGATCAAATACGTTTTTCCTTCATAGGCGTATAGAGGCCCATTATCAGCAACCATCAGTCCTGTGTTCCAATGGCATATTGTGTTTGCTAATCCAAGTTTATCATTTTAAAAGGCTAATTGATCATTAGAAAACCCTTTTGCAATTATGTTAGCACAGCTGAAAACTGTTGTGCTGATTAGTTTTTTCCAACTGCTTACACACGTTTTCAAAACTATGTCTCATTTTTTCAAAACTCTACACACAATTCCCAAAACTGCACACACAAAATGCAAAATTCCTCACATCTCCTTCAAAATGTAACACTGCATTCAAAATGCCATAAACATGTCAGAATGAAGCATTTGCATCAAATGGCAAACACTTCTTTCATAATAGTACATTTTTGGATATACCATGTAAACACTGTTGTTCTAAATCTAAAGCTCTTTGGTCTTTCATAGGCTTATATCTACATTTCAATACAATGTTCTATAGTGAAAGTAATCTGCTGAGAGGGGTAACAAGTACACTGTAAACACCAATGCAATGTAGAAACAGAAAATATTTATTAGGCCAAACATTACTGTTGTATACAGTAGCATACAACAAAACCATAAACAAATGTAAACCAAAAGTATATTCTTTAGAATACAGTAAAGAACACAATTATGTGTGTGGGGTCCCGAGGGGGCAGTCCAGGAATTGGTAGGGGGGGGGCAGTCACCAGTGCTAAGCGATGCTTCATCTCTTCTCCGGGCTGGGTCTGGCCACTTCGTCCACATCACAAGATACGTTTTCTCTTGCCAAACATCGAGGGAAGTATCTCCTAGCATGGCGTATCCAACCTTGGACAGAGGCAATCTCTATGTCCCCACATGCGTCCTCCATTGCCTGGAGAAGCGGCATGCAGGCATAGGGTTGGCGATCATACACTTTCCAGCGCCAGGCTGAGAATAATTCCTCTATGGGATTTAGAAAAGGTGAATATGGGGGTAGGTACAAAACTACAAATTGTGGATGGGTGGCAAACCAGTTTTGGACCAGAACAGCCCGGTGAAAACTAACATTGTCCCATATAACCACAAATATAGCAGGCTCCTGATCTGGATCAGGGACAAGCATTGTGTAAATTGCATCCAGAAAAGTGAGCATATGGCCGGTGTTGTACGGACACAGTGTGGCATTGTGATGGAGGACCCCGTTTTGAGTGATGGCAGCACACATAGTTATATTACCCCCACGCTGTCCAGGGACATTGGTAATTGCCCTCTGTCATATTACATTTCTTCCGCGGCGCCTGGTTTGGTGAGGTTGAAGCCAACCTCATCCACATAAAAAAATTAATGGCAAATTACATGGGCATCCATCTCCAATACTCTCTGTAACAGACAAAAGGATATACAGATGAGTAAATATGGTATGTCTGAAGTACTGGAAGTAGTGTTGCAAACATACCTCTACAAAGTCATGTCGCAGATTCTTGACTCTGTCAGAGTTTCTCTCAAATGGCACCTTGTAAAGTTGTTTCATCGTCACTTGGTGCCGTTGGAGGATGCATTGTATGGTCGACAGGCTTACAGCATTGATGTTGTTAAATATGGTGTCATTATTCAAGATATGCTCTCTTATCTCTCGAATCCTAATTGCATTGTTGGCCAAAACCATATTTATAATTGCAGTCTTTTGTACATCTGTAAACAAGAGTCCTCGTCCTCCATGATGTCTTTGCCTTTCCACTCTGTACAGAATTCAAACACAGTATGTGTTCAGCATAGGAACTGTAAACAATGTACAAAAAAAGGTAGTACAGCATGATAACCAACCTCATTCATTCAATGCAGTGCAGTAAATGGATGGCTTAGAGTTACAAATGTTTATGCAATACTATGCAGTCATACATATTTTACTGTACATTACTGTAATGCTAAAATAGTCATTAGATAGTTGCATACCTGTTCTCATTTCTGAAGGTTCGAATTATGGACGCCACTGTAAATCGTCTCAAGTTGGGCTGGACTCTCAGTCCAGCCTCTCTCATGGTCAAACCGTGGTTGATCACATGATCAACAAGTGTTGCCCTAATCTCATCAGAGATGGCTCTCCTTCCTTCTCTTCTTTGCCCTCGTCCTCGTCTTCCTCTTCCTCTTCCAACTCTTCGTCTTTGTCCTCGTTGTTGTCCCCTGCCTCTCCCTCCTACTCCTCTTGCTCTCTGTCAATTGTTGGCATCCATTGTTCAAAACAGGTAATCTGACCTTTGACCTATTTATAGGCCTATACTACAGTAAAGCAGTGATTGGTTAGTGATCAGTTAAGCAATTAGTGTTTGCACATGTGAGGAGTGTGTGTGTGACCTGGTGAATAAGTGTAGCATTTTGATTGGTTGTGTTTGGAAAAGGAAAGCAAGTCACTTCCTGTTAGATTTTTGTGTTTTAGGTAGAGAATTGTGTGTAGTGTTTTGAAAAAAGTTTTTATGCAATTGACAACTGAGTCAAAGGCTGAGAAATAGCTTTTGGTTTTGGAGATTTGGTGTGTAGTTTTGCACTTTGAGTGAGAGGTTTCAAAAATCGTGTGACATGAAAAGATTTTGTGTGTAAGCAGTTGGAAAAAACTGTAAAGAAGCAATAAAACTGACCTTCTTGAGACTAGTTGAGTATCTGGAGCATCAGTAATTGTGGGTTCGATTACAGGCTCAAAATGGACAGAAACAAATAACTTTCTTCTGAAACTCGTCAGTCTATTCTTGTTCTGAGAAATGAAGATCTCGTACAACGTTGTGTACTTCTCCCTTCACAGAACAGCGCAAACTGGCTCTAACCAGAATAGAAAGAGGAGTGGGAGGCCCCGGTGCACAACTGAGCAAGAGGACAAATACATTAGAGTGTCTAGTTTGAGAAACAGACGCCTCACATGTCCTCAACTGGCAGCTTCATTAAATAGTACCCGCAAAACACCAATCTCAACGTCAACAGTGAAGAGGCGACTCCAGGATGCTGACCTTCTAGGAAGAGTTGCAACGAAAAAGCCATATCTCAGACTGGCCAATAAAACCAAAAGATTAAGATGGGCAAAAGAACACAGACACTGGACAGAGGAAGATTGGAAAAAAGTGTTATGGACAGACGAATCGAAGTTTGAGGTGTTCGGATCACAAAGAAGAACATTTGTGAGACGCAGACCAAATGAAAAGATGCTGGAGGAGTGCTTGATGCCATCTGTCAAGTATGGTGGAGGCAATGTGATGGTCTGGGGGTGCTTTGGTGGTGGTAAAGTGGGATATTTGTACAGGGTAAAAGGGATCTTGAAGAAGGAAGGCTATCACTCCATTTTGCAACGCCATGCCATACCCTGTGGACGGCGCTTGATTGGAGCCAATTTCCTCCTACAACAGGACAATGACCCAAAGCACAGCTCCAAACTATGCAATAACTATTTAGGGAAGAAGCAGTCAGCTGGTATTCTGTCTATAATGGAGTGGCCAGCACAGTCACCGGATCTCAACCCTATTGAGCAGTTGTGGGAGCAGCTTGACCGTATGGTACGTAAGAAGTGCCCATCAAGCCAATCCAACTAGTGGGAGGTGCTTCAGGAAGCATGGGGTGAAATCTCTTCAGATAACCTCAACAAATTGACAACTAGAATGCCAAAGGTCTGCAAGGCTGTAATTGCTGCAAATGGAGGAATCTTTGACGAAAGCAAAGTTTGAAGGACACAATTATTATTTCTATTAAAAATCATTATTTCTAACCTTGTCAATGACTACATTTCCTATGCATTTTGCTATATTTCCTATTCAAACTCATTTAATGTATGTTTTCATGGAAAACAAGGACATTTCTAAGTGACCCCAAACTTTTGAACGGTAGTGTATCTACTATGCACACCCACCTCTTATTATACTTTGCCAATATTTATTTGTAAATTAAACAATTTATTGCGCCCTAAGAACCATTACTAATGGATTCTGTTTAACCTTTCCCTACCTCCAGGAGAGACAGCGGTGGGAGAGGGAGTGCCAGGCGCGCCACAGCCAACAGGGGGAGCTGGAGAGCAGGCTGGAGGAGAGGGAGAGACAGTGCCACCTGGAGGCTGAGAGGCTGAAGCAGGAGCGGGAGGAGCTGGAGGAGCAGCTGGGGGAGTACCAGCAGAGCCTGGAGAGGCTGAGAGAGAGCCAGAGGAGTGTGGAGAAGGAGAGGGAGAGGCTGGAGACCCAGCAGAACCTGCTGCAGAGCTGGAGACACAGCCGACAGAGGAGCCTGCCTGTCATGGTCATACCGCTGGACCGCTGTCATCAGGTGTGTGTGAAGGGGGGTGAGTGGATGTGTGTGTTTGTGTGTGTGTGTGTGTGTGGGGGAGGGGGGGCATCTCACAGAAGGCATCTCACAGAAGGCCTCCTAGCCTGTAGCTACTATTCACTGCATGAGTGTGAATGGGAGATGCTGAGAGTAAGTATATTGTAAGGGTGTGTATAGCAGTTTGGCATTTATTGTCATGAATCTTGTCCTGCAGGCAGCTCTGCAGAGTGTTCACTAGCTGGCACAGCCACAAAGTTATAAAATCTGATTATAAACTACAGGAGGTTGGTGGCACCTTAATTGGGGAGAACGGGCTCGTGGTAATGACTGGAGCGGAATCAGTGTAAGGGTATCAAATACATCAAACACATGGTTTCCAGGTTTGTAATACTATTCCATTTGCGCCGTTCCGGCCACTATTATGTGCCATTCTCCCCTCAGCAGCCTACTGCGTTTTAAACCTAACCCTAACCTTAGCCCTAACCTTAACCACACTGTTAACCATAATGCCTAACCCTAACCTTAAAGTGGAACTGACAGCATTTTAGCAACATAAAATATTATTAGAATATGTTCATATACACCCCCAGGAAGAATATGACACTTTAAAAAAACTATTCTGACAAGCGAGCACTTAGATATGGTCATTTTCACAACACTTATGCAGTTCTACTACGTGATATATATAAAAAAGCTGCGTTAGAAAGGATTACCTACACATTCTGACCAGCTCATATTATAGACAGAAGCGTGCTACATGGCAGACCAATCCATATTCATCTCTCGGCATGTCCAGGCCACTCATTATATCAGCCAATCATGGCTAGCAGGAAGGTTACTGTCTTTTTCCATGGCTAAACCAACTAGGCTTGTAATTTAACAATTTTCTTCGTATTTACAGATGGCATACAAGTTTGTTATTAAGGAACATGAAAGTTCACATGTTCCAGAAGGCATTTCTGCATTTCTGCCCAAAAACATTTAGATTAAAAAAAAAGGTTTACGTTCAAATGACGCTCCTGTGAAGTAGTGACCCGTGACAAACGCCTAGTTTCCTGAAATGAGTCACATTTGCCACACGGGCCTGCCATCATTCACTTTGAACTGGACTGTGTGTTTACAGGCAGTTGCAACAGCGCGACTTTAGATCATTAGAACGCATTTGCCAAAAGCCACAAAATACACCGGAATGGATTTCTGCAAAAATGTAAACACCACGGGAGTCCTCTTATATTTGGGAACTTTACAGTCCTATTGATCAAACAACCATGAAAAGGTAGGCTCTCTCTCCCTCAGTTATGCACATCAACAACAACAAGATCAACAACTAATGCTAGCCAGAGCAAGATGAGCTAAAATCTAACGAAGGAACATTAGATAAACCCTCTCAAGCTTTTTCAGCTAGTTGGCCGTCAAAATTGCACTGATAAACAATGGGGAATTGTAGCCTACTCATCCTTCTGCAGCTTGTTTGCCAATGTATGCATGTCCCAACCAAGCACCCAAGCTAACTGGCTAAAGTTGGCTAGCTTGCTAGCTAGCTACTTCCAGACACAAATGAGAGAACATCTCACTCTGACCATTTTACTCGCCGTAGCAGAGATGGTTAGGCTGTTATCTAGCTAGAGCGTTCGTGACTAACTATTACTTTTTTTGCCTACGTTTACTGACACCGGCATATTCAGCGGGTGTTGTGCATTCGTAAATTCATCAGTTATTCTGTGCTCTGGCACACTCAGACGAGAGTGCTCTGAAATCAGAGTAGATAGCCAGAGTGAATTTGCGAACGCAAGAGATATGCTAACTGGATAACTCTGTAATAAATCTGTGGTCCTCTGTAGCTCAATTGGTAGAGCATTGGGCTTGTAACGCCAGGGTAGTGGGTTCGATCCCCGGGACCACCCATACCTAAAAATGTATGCACACATGACTGTAAGTCGCTTTGGATAAAAGCGTCTGCTAAATCACATATTATTATTATTATTATAACAGTTGTTCAAGTTCTTGCTAGCTAACTAAATAAATAGATACGCTAGCCTATTAGCCACGTTATGACTGAATTGTGATCATTGTCCTTGCTAGTTTGATTGTATTGATATTCCCCGCCTTAGTTACATTTGTCTGTTTTTGCCCAAAATATTGAGTTATTGAAACTGAACAGTGCATCCCAAATGGAGGCAGCAAACAATGTACCAGGCCAGCTGTGATTTACAACCTGATAGCAATATTTTTTGGACTACCAAGAAATGTATTGGTGAATTATACACTGCTCAAAAAAATTAAGGGAACACTTAAACAACACAATGTAACTCCAAGTCAATCACACTTCTGTGAAATCAAACTGTCCACTTAGGAAGCAACACTGATTGACAATACATTTCACATGCTGTTGTGCAAATGGAATAGACAACAGGTGGAAATTATAGGCAATTAGCAAGACACCCCCAATAAAGAAGTGGTTCTGCAGGTGGTGACCACAGACCACTTCTCAGTTCCTATGCTTCCTGGCTGATGTTTTGGTCACTTTTGAATGCTGGCGGTGCTTTCACTCTAGTGGTAGCATGAGACGGAGTCTACAACCCACACAAGTGGCTCAGGTAGTGCAGCTCATCCAGGATGGCACATCAATGCGAGCTGTGGGAAGAAGGTTTGCTGTGTCTGTCAGCGTAGTGTCCAGAGCATGGAGGCGCTACCAGGAGACAGGCCAGTACATCAGGAGACGTGGAGGAGGCCGTAGGAGGGCAACATCCCAGCAGCAGGACCGCTACCTCCGCCTTTGTGCAAGGAGGAGCAGGAGGAGCACTGCCAGAGCCCTGCAAAATGACCTCCAGCAGGCCACAAATGTGCATGTGTCTGCTCAAACGGTCAGAAACAGACTCCATGAGGGTGGTATGAGGGCCCGACGTCCACAGGTGGGGGTTGTGCTTACAGCCCAACACCGTGCAGGACGTTTGGCATTTGCCAGAGAACACCAAGATTGGCAAATTCGCCACTGGCGCCCTGTGCTCTTCACAGATGAAAGCAGGTTCACACTGAGCACATGTGACAGACGTGACAGAGTCTGGAGACGCCGTGGAGAACGTTCTGCTGCCTGCAACATCCTCCAGCATGACCAGTTTGGCGGTGGGTCAGTCATGGTGTGGGGTGGCATTTCTTTGGGCGGCCGCACAGCCCTCCATGTGCTCGCCAGAGGTAGCTTGACTGCCATTAGGTACCGAGATGAGATCCTCAGACCCCTTGTGAGACCATATGCTGGTGCGGTTGGCCCTGGGTTCCTCCTAATGCAAGACAATGCTAGACCTCATGTGGCTGAAGTGTGTCAGCAGTTCCTGCAAGAGGAAGGCATTGATGCTATGGACTGGCCCGCCCGTTCCCCAGACCTGAATCCAATTGAGCACATCTGGGACATCATGTCTCGCTCCATCCACCAACGCCACGTTGCACCACAGACTGTCCAGGAGTTGGCGGATGCTTTAGTCCAGGTCTGGGAGGAGATCCCTCAGGGGACCATCCGCCACCTCATCAAGAGCATGCCCAGGCGTTGTAGGGAGGTCATACAGGCACGTGGAGGCCACACACACTACTGAGCCTCATTTTGAGTTGTTTTAAGGACATTACATCAAAGTTGGATCAGCCTGTAGTGTGGTTTTCCACTTTAATTTTGAGGGTGACTCCAAATCCAGACCTCCATGGGTTGATACATTTGATTTCCATTGATACTTTTTGTGTGATTTTGTTGTCAGCACATTCAACTATGTAAAGAAAAAAGTATTTAATAAGATTATCTCATTCATTCAGATCTAGGATGTGTTGTTTAAGTGTTCCCTTTATTTTTTTGAGCAGTGTATTAATCATGCATTGAACTGCATCCATCTATTCTGCCAACAATGCCTTAGTGTACATCATGGAATATTGAGTCAAATATAACCTATTTTTAGAACCGCTTACGAAGTTGGTTTTGTAGCATAAACTAGGAATTTGATATTTTTGACTGATATTATGATTGTCTGTTTGTTTCATAGCTGCAAAGTAGTTAAAACACTGTCAGTTCCACTTTAATTTAAGACCAAAAAGCTAATTTGTTTTCATGAATTTTTACAATATAGCCAATTTTGACTTTGCAGCTGGCCCATCTAGCAGAAATCGCTTAGTTCTGCCTTCAGGGCAAGATTCATGACAAACGTCAACCTGCTTGTGTATATGTGTGTGTGAACCAAGAGCATGTTTCTCCCTGGGTTAGAAGTTCATTATTGAGAAGTGCCTCTCTCTCCCAGGACAAAGTATAGCCAGCAGGCAGAGCTACGGTAGCCCACTCAGTCACACAGAGCAGCTCCATCCAGCCCTTGATATACGACCTGCGGTAATGAGACCAATTTCAGCATCATCTGTCTCAACGCTCAGCAGCTCCGCTCGCTAATAAACAACTTCATGATTGATGATAATTAAACCGCCGAGAATAAAAGCTCCAGCGACAAAATAATTAAAAGCATGCGAACGCTGCAAACCAATCAATCCTATCCAAAGTACTTAAATTATTCATATCGACACTTTGTTTGAAAAGCGAGTAGAGGAGAGATAGAGGAGAGAGAAGAGAGAGAGAGAGAGAGAGAGAGAGAGCAGAGATAGCTAGAAAGAGACTCAGAGAAGATAGAGACTCTTATGATAGAGAATAAGAGAGAGGCGAGAAGATATAGATGAGACGGAGGATACTGCCGACTCTCCCTCTATAGCGATCTTAACAGATAGATGAGATCCCAGAGAGTAGAGACAAGAGAAGGAGAAGGGAGACGACAGAGACAAGAGGAGCAGGGAGCGACAGAGAGAGAGAGAGAGAGAGCAAGGGAGCGACAGACAGAGGGAGGCAAGGGAGCAAGGAGAGAGACAGAGAGCAAGAGCAAGGAGCAAGGGGGGACGACAGAGAGAGAGAGCAAGGGAGCAAGGGAGCAAGGGAAGCAAGGAGCGACAGAGAAGAGAGAGGGAGCAAGGGAGCAAGGGAGCGACAGAGAGAGAGAGGGGAGCAAGGGAGCAAGGGAGCGACAGAGAGAGAGAGAGGGAGCAAGGGAGCAAGGGAGCGACAGAGAGAGAGAGAGGGAGCAAGGGAGCGACAGAGAGAGAGAGAGGGAGCAAGGGAGCGACAGAGAGAGAGGAGAGGAGAGGAGAGGGGGAGAGAGAGCGAGGGAGCGACAGAGAGAGAGGAGAGGAGAGGAGAGGGGGAGAGAGAGCGAGGGAGCGACAGAGAGAGAGGAGAGGGAGGAGAGAGCGAGGGAGCGACAGAGAGAGAGGAGAGGAGAGGAGAGAAGAGAAAAGGAGATAGAGGGTGAGAGAGAGTGAGGAGAGAGAGACCGAGAGGAGAGAGAGAGAGTATCAATAGAACAGTGTTCCTATACCCTGCCTTCTGCCTGCCTCTCTACAGGACCTTATGGGGAGGGTGTATGTTAAAACCAACGCCCTCATGAATGTAGACCATTTACCCCCTGGCCTATGCCTCCGTGGGGTTGAGCTTGTGTTGTGAGGTTCAGCAGGTGGGATGATTCAACGCGTAGAGAGTGGAATGGGAGGGGGTTTTCATATCTGTCTTACTCTCCTCCTCTTTCTCTCTCATCTACGTACTTCTCTTCTGTATGCTATGTCCAGGCTAGGTAATATGTTCTCCTACCCCATTCATTTGTCAAAGTCTTTCCTACTTGCGTGACAGGAAACAGGAGTTACTGCAGGCTGATCTGTATGGAAACAGTGCAGTCTTAGGCTCTGTTCCAAATGGCACCCTATTCCATATGGTCCCTGGTCAAATGTAGTGCACTACAAAGGGAATAGGGTGCCATTTGGACCCATTAGCATTTCCCTGCTGATCGGTATGGAGGTAGTGTTTAGTGTTACCCTGGTAACATTTAGCCCCAGGCAGAGGGTCAGGGGGTCAGAGACAGATCCGGTGTCCTCTGTCAGATCCTCTTTAATGAGAAGGTCTTTCTGTCAGGAGGATGGGCTTTACAGCACCTTGCCAAGTAGAGGTAGCCCAGCTCCACTGCAGCAGCACTGTTTTTAAATTAAAGGAAAATAATATGAATTGGCATACTTAACAGAAATCCCACCGAAAATATGGTTTTTGATGACAATTCAGTTTTTTGGATAAACTGTGAATAAACCATTATTGTAAACAGCCACTGTGGCTACTTGACTATGCCTGATATGTAGTAATGGTTATACTGTTGCCCATAGCTAACTCTTATCTTAGTGTTATGGTTTCGCTGTATGTTTACGTTATTGCTGTCATCATGGTCGTCCTTCACGCTCAGTGTTCTGTTAAAGTGGCGTTCTTCTCCCATAGGACTCACTTCCTGGTCAGCCTGGCGGCCATCTTGACGACGGCCGCTCAGTGTTTGTCAACGAGGCAGCGTTCACCACGGCAGTGGTGCTCAACAACCGCCACGTGCACCACCACCTGCAGCAGCAGCAGAGAGGGGGGTCCCTGGGGTATGGGGATAACCCTCGAGCCCACAACAGCCTGAACACCCTACTGGCCCGCTCCAGCCACGGACACACACTCCAACCTCTCTCCCTCTCCCAGACCCCCCAACTCCACCTTGACACACACACCCCCCAGGGTTGGGCGGGGGGCACCGGTGTCACCAGGTACCTCTACACACCAACAGGGGGACAGGACTCTGAGCAGACACCCAACGGTAAGACCCAGCTCCAGACCCTCAGGGGGACAGGGCTCTGAGCAGACACCCAACGGTAAGACCCAGCTCCAGACCCTCAGGGGGACAGGGCTCTGAGCAGACACCCAACGGTAAGACCCAGCTCCAGACCCTCAGGGGGACAGGGCTCTGAGCAGACACCCAACGGTAAGACCCAGCTCCAGACCCTCAGGGGGACAGGGCTCTGAGCAGACACCCAACGGTAAGACCCAGCTCCAGACCCTCAGGGGGACAGGGCTCTGAGCAGACACCCAACGGTAAGACCCAGCTCCAGACCCTCAGGGGGACAGGGCTCTGAGCAGACACCCAACGGTAAGACCCAGCTCCAGACCCTCAGGGGGACAGGGCTCTGAGCAGACACCCAACGGTAAGACCCAGCTCCAAACAGTTGTGTGAATCCATCTCTGTTACAGAGATTGTGTTTATTCTCTAATTCCAAATACAGGATAATTCCGGCTTTCTCGGCTGAATTTGATTGATAACACACAGAGTGATTTAATGGGATATGGCATTGCCTGACTAAATACCATACAACTAAATGTGGGTTCAACAATATGACAGGCTCTTTTTCTCCCCCCCCCCCCCCCCCCCCCCTCCCTCTCTCTCTCCTTCTCCTTCTCTCTTTCTATGATATCACATGATAGCATGAGGCCTAGCTGCTACCTGTGAGAAAGTAAACAACCTCTGTACCCACCACACACACACACACCTCCCATTCCTCTCAAGGCTGTTCCCGTTTCGAAGCAATGTGAGGCCTTGCTTGTCCTTCTTTCCCAGTTAATCAGTGTCTCCTGACAAAGAACACCCCACCTCACCCCCCTCATCCCCACCACCACCTCCACCATCCTAGTCCGGCCCTTCTCGCCTAGGAGTGAGAAAAATAATCGGTGTGTTCTCTATCTATCGAGCACTGGGGGCCGGGTCAACAGCATGTGAATCACAGCGCAGAGCCCATGGCTGACAGATTGGAGCATTGATCTGAAAAATCTTTACAGAACTCATTACAGCACGACTTGTCATCGGAGGAGCAGGGGATGGAGGGATAGAGGGGAGGGAGGGATGAGAGATGCACATATTCATCTGTATTTCACTGCTGATGTGTCAGCCGACGTCTGTCTGCGTCTATATGTCTCACAGGTTTCAACTGTTACACCTCACTGGTTTAATGTACATGTACACTGATCTAAACCAAACATATTATAGGCTACAATGAGGGTCACTTGTTGAATATGCACTAGAATGGATGCTTATATTTTAATAGCCTGTTTAATGGGTATCACTATAGTAACTATCAGTGATACAGGCTGCTGAATTGTTTACTATTATGCGACCGGAGCACGATCTCTCTCCATCGATCGCCTTATTACCTTCTCCTGTTATTGACCACACGTGAGCCGCCGTAGAATCACAGTCTCTTGTTAACAAGACAGAGTGGATACTCTGCACAGATGGGTGGATACCCCCATCTACCACAGGGCCAGATCTTACCTGACATATTATCAACAATGCACCCCTCTGTGGCCCAAGACAGGCCCCATAATGCACTGCTCCTGTCCTGTTAGAGGTGTATGTTATCTGATAGGTCAGCAGGATTCACAGATTGTCTGCGTCCCAAATGGCACCCTATTCCCTATTTAGTTCACTACTTTTGACCATGGTCCATATGGGTCTGGTAGTGCACTTTAAAGGGGATAGGGTTCCATTTGGGATGCAAATGTAGTCTTCCCTCAGGGGGTTCATTTCGCTCCAAACTCCAACACTATGTCTCACCTTCCTACATTCTATGGATGTCTATCCACAATACATTATTCATTACTATTGAATGCACTGTATTTGGTGGTATAGACTACTAGTGCATTCTGGGTCTGTACACGATCCCATGTTACAGAACTCTCATATTCCACACTAGAATATTATCCAGGAAATCAATATCTCACCTTGAAAAATAAAACATATTTGATCCAAAAAATGTCATATTTCAGATGGGAATCCTCCATCCTCCATATCCTGCTCGGAGCTATCAGAAGTCTGATTTCTCACCCTCACCTCCAAGTGAGGACGGTTCTTCCCCCTCACACAGGGCCTTTGGGATTGTTCCCTCTCTCAGGATTTCCATAATGTTTCTCCTGTACAATGACAATGGAAGAAATGGAAGGATGAAATTCCTGAAATTACTTTTGATCCAATCAATCCAATCAGATATTCCCATCTAGCCTAGCTGTTGAATAACTGTGGCCTTTTGAAATTAAGAACTACTGTTCCAGAATATTGAGCTGCTTCTGAAAAGGAATAAGGGATGAAAACTATGAAGATCAGTGCTCACTGTGATGGTATAGTGAGTTACTGTACTGTACCCATAGAAATAGAATCTCATTGTAGTTCTGTAGACTGTACCTTAGTTCGAAGATTATCCTGACTCTCTGGCCTTTTAATGAATGACAAACCTCCTGACATTACACTTGGTGTTAAAGTCATTCAACGTATCCCATTAGATGTTATGTCACTGATTTGAAAATGTATTGTGCCTTCAGATCAGTCTGACCCAAGTCCCTGTGAGGAGGGTAGTGACTGGTGAGAGAGTCTTTGTCCTGAGGCTTTATAGTGTAGACCCATCTATCAGAGCCCAGTTAAAGGTCTAAGAGCATGGCTAATAGTGACACACACACACACACACCAGTGGTTAGCTAACAAAGTGCTCACTAATGAATGAAACAGAGTCAGACACATTCCTGTGGGAACACAATGAGGCGATTTGTAAACCACACCATCTATTAACACAGACCCTTACAGCCACACCATCTATTACCACAGACCCTTACAGCCACACCATCTATTACCACAGACCCTTACAGCCACACCATCTATTACCACAGACCCCTACAGACCCTTACAGCCACACCATCTATTACCACAGACCCTTACAGACCCTTACAGCCACACCATCTATTACCACAGACCCCTACAGACCCTTACAGCCACACCATCTATTACCACAGACCCCTACAGACCCTTACAGCCACACCATCTATTACCACAGACCCTTACAGACCCTTACAGCCACACCATCTATTACCACAGACCCTTACAGCCACATTATTTATTACCACAGACACTTACAGCCACACCATCTATTACCACAGACCCTTACAGCCACATTATCTCTTTCCACAGACCCTTACAGCCACACCATCTATTACCACAGACCCTTACAGATCCTCACAGCCCCTCGCAGCCCCTTACAGCCCCTCACAGCCCCTCACAGCCCCTCATAGCCCCTTACAGCCCCTCACAGCCCCTCACAGCCCCTTACAGCCCCTCACAGCCCCTCACAGCCCCTCACAGCCCCTCACAGCCCCTTACAGCCCCTCACAGCCCCTTACAGCCCCTCATAGTCCCTTACAGCCCCTCACAGCCCCTCACAGCCCCTCATAGCCCCTTACAGCCCCTCACAGCCCCTCATAGACCCTTACAGCCCCTCACAGCCCCTTACAGCCCCTCACAGCACCTTACAGCCCCTCACAGCCCCTCATAGACCCTTACAGGCCCTTACAGCCCCTTACAGCCCCTCACAGCCCCTTACAGCCACTTACAGCCCCTCACAGCCCCTCACAGCCCCTCATAGCCCCTCACAGCCCCTCACAGCCCCTTACAGCCCCTCACAGCCCCTCATAGCCCCTTACAGCCCCTCACAGCCCCTCACAGCCCCTTACAGCCCCTCACAGCCCCTCACAGCCCCTTACAGCCCCTCATAGACCCTTACACACACACACACACACACACACACACACAGACACACACACACACACACACACACACACACTTTTGTGTGCACATACATGCATACATGCACACAGGCACACTCAGAAATGCACACACACACACCCTCCTTCTTCCTCCTGATGGTCCCGTTTGGGCGTGCATGTGTCCTTCTATCCTAATGATAATGATGACAGTGACAAAATGACAACAGTCGGTTAAACTCTAAAGTCCAAGAGCAAAGATAAGTTACTGATGGCTGAATTGAGCATGTATTATTCATTGACTATCTTGTACTAGGAGGAAACAGCACGTTACTGCCTGCAGCTGTGGTGCTTGACGTACGACCCCCCCCCCCCTCATCCCACTTTCTCCTTCGTCTCTCCACCCTTCCCTTCTCATCTCTGGCTCTTGGTGTTTCATTTAAAATGGTTATCGTTCATGTCTGTGAGAGAGATAGTTAATTCTGGTTGTTGGTTTAGTGTACTGTGATTATGAATATCTATGATGAATGTTTTAATATTGATGCATATTCATAAAAACGCAATTTATTTATAACCCATACAGATATAAACACACACCGCTATGTGAGGGAGATGTGGTCGTCGATGGCAACAGTGGCTGGACAATATCAGGGTGTACCCCACCATGGTGACCCCCAACTGGACCTGTCCTCCTTGGTTCCCCTGGAGACGGAGAGTGGGGATGGGGAGGAGGGGGGAGAGGAGAACATTGTGTACCTCTGAGGCTGAACCCCCTGAGTCAAAACCAGGACTTAAAGCTGGAATCCTTCATGGTGAAACTGCCACGGCCGTTTGGGATATTACAACAACAAAGAAGTTACTTCAAACAACAAACACTGTTTTCTTCCCTCGGACATCATTAGACGTGCGATAGAACGAAGGCTCAGAATCACAATATCTAGGCCTATTGTATATCAACCAGGTTTAAAGAAGTAACAGGACTGGCACATACAGTAATCTCTCATGCTTTGTCTCTCTGCACCCCCAGGTCTGTGCCAGGTAACCTCCATATGTGTCGCCAAGTGTTGTCAATGAGAGACACTTTTATAGTGCTACATGTTTATATGTGTCCATATACAGTGGGGAGAACAAGTATTTGATACACTGCCGATTTTGCAGGTTTTCCTACTTACAAAGCATGTAGAGGTCTGTAATTTTTATCATAGGTACACTTCAACTGTGAGAGACAGAATCTAAAACAAAAATCCAGAATATCACATTGTATGATTTTTAAGTAATTAATT